GATTTTGATGATATTTTTTTGTATATGTACCTCGATTGCTTAAATTCAATTAAACCCGTTAGGTGGCACAGTTGTCGAGATTCGGATATCACCCGTGTGAAGCTGGGGTGGATCTTTAGTGTATTTATATGATCATTGGTATATGATTCATAGAAATATAAGAAAACTATGATAGTGTAGTTCAAATGTACACATGAGTCAAAGGCTCAAACAAAACTTATATTTTTCTTTTATTTCCATGAATCTTGTATCATAATAAATATGATAATTTTTAGAGTAAGAACATACATAAAGGATAAGCAGTATGTACTCCACGTCCACTCCATAAAAAATGAGCATACAATATAACATGTATTGCTTAAGTACCGAGTACCAACCAATAACGAAACAGCCTTATATGTTCAGAGATACAAAAAAGCAACCATAAATACTGTACATATTTGGCATGCTCCGGCGCCGTGCAATGTCAGTGCATGCCTCGACATACACAATTTAGATAGGACTCAAAGGTCGAAGTTTTGTAGCCATTATGTGATGCAGTAAGTTGTTTCATGATATATTCGAAGATATATTTAATTCTAAGGTGTAAGGTATCCACAAATGAGAGATTTTACACGTATTTGTGGGCTAAAACAATTGGCATAAAACAATCTTATAATAGATATGTAATTATAAATATTTTCGTGAATGACACTCATTGAATGCGAATAATGATCGTTCACTTCATGCAAAGAGGGCTAATAATCTTACGCTAACCATATGTCGCTAGTTGGGACTAAAGTAAACTTATTTGTTACGCAGATAGACACATAGTGTCATTAACATTGAAAAATTTCGATTTAATTATAAGTTTTTCAGTTTCTAGTGTATACTTTTTATTTGTTACACATTTTTTAAATTCTTTTACTTTTAGGAATATCCGTAGTTTGGTTTATCCATTTCTAATTTAATTAATAGAAAATATAACTAATATTCCGATTTAAAAAAAAAACACTTAACAAATTAACTTTCCCCACCATGTAATCTGTCAAATATTTCAGCTCATTCTTAATGGGCTCCACCCTGGTGGCAGAAAAAGTTGTAGATGCCCTCATTGACGTGCCGTACATTGATAACAATTGACAATTGTTTTCCGCTAAAACTATTTACCATAATTACTTATATATCTTATATCCCCGAAACGGTCGATTTCGATTGTCAACGTATACGTCAATGGAGGTTTAAAATAATGTGCGATTGAAGCTCCATTAAAGAGTGTGTCACTTGCCCACGCCCCAGTCAATTGTAGAACTATATTGGGAAGTTGCGTCCGTCAATCATAAGTATTATAATTCTAGAGGCAGATAAATGGTTTTTCTTGCAAAACCCGACTGTCATTTGCTAGTTTACTACCATTTAGACCGTTACTTGAATGTCCATTACGGCAGTAATGCAATAATTGCTCGGAATACCGAGTTGATTTAAACGATAGAGACCACAGACTCATAACACAACTGCGATACGACCAGCTTCGCGACATTAATTTTGTGTTGCATTGTCGCTTATCGTTTGTCAAAATATTATTTTACAGTATTAAATAGTTATTTTTAATGATTTGTTTTTAAGTATGAATACCGGTAAGAGCAAATATAGATAAAAGTTTCTTAATGAAGTGTTGTTATAAAGATAAATATGTCGTATATCACGATCAATAATGTTGACAAATCTTAAAATGCAACGTCGGTAAACCTCGATAAGGCGGACATCGCATCGTCCTAGGTACCAATCAAGAAACTGCCTTATTCACTTTAGCGCATTATATATTATAATATTAAAACATTATTTACATAGGTATATGATTTATATAATCTCTTTATTAGTAAAATCTTGCACTTAAACCTATATGTTACGAATAATTCTATTAGAAACCAAAACAATATCATAAAAAATATGTAAAAAAATAAATGTGAAATTATTTTGAATCATGTCTAATATCTACTGCGGTCTACGCTATTTCATTAATAATAATTAATTCCCATGTGAGTTGACATCATATTCCTTAAGCGTATCTCACACACAAGTGGCTTGCGGTGGCGGCCACGGTGGAGGCCAGTTGTATTGGCTTGCAATGTAAGTGAGTCTGCAGACACGTGCGGCCATGTCGCGGTCTGCGAGCGGCTGGCCGCAGCCGCGTACCCGTGCTCTTCCGTCACCGCGCGTGTGTTTGCGAGCGCACGCTCTGTCGGTGGCCGCGCGGTTAGTTGCAAATTTTTACAACAGGCCGCGTGCCCGCGTGAAAAATGGCCCTAAATACAGAGATTTAAATAGAAACAAAATTATGCAGTACTTTATAAAACTTCACACAGTGATTACAAAAATATTAGGATTAAAACAAAATATGGGATAATATTGCTAAATATAATAAGAGTAATAAGACTACGTCACGATTAGCCATGTTGACTGACGTCCGTTCGTAGCACAGACACCAGCCGGGCTATTCACAATCGTCTCGGAAAGCGAATTCGACTCGGATTCGATAACTTCTCGCACCGAAACCAATAAACGCTATTCACATTTAACGTTCGGATGAAGGTCACTTAGATACAGCCCATAACTACTGTATCGTCATTTAGTTACATGCATTTACGAATTTTGTAGATAAATAGGCTTTTGTATTTTTTTAGAGTAACGCCTAAACAAAAACATAATGCAATATTTTGGTGTTAGCCATTGATATCGAATATAAAAAATATATAATTTAACTATATAATAAATAACAAAAAAACTGAGATATGTCTCGTTTCACAAAGCAGCATATATATATATATATATATTTGTGATAGAAAACTTATAAAAACACACCTTTCACAAAAATTCAGCTTTACGATTAAGTGCAAATATTGAAGTAATTATATGAAAATACGTCTTATAGATAATTGTAATTAATTTTTGTTACCTACCTTATAATTAAAAGGATTTATTTATCTCTTCTAATCATCAATATTCGAAAAGTTTTCGCCAGCCTCAGAGCTCTCGTAAAGTTTCCGATGCAAACTGTCACAATTATCGAAAACAAACGTAAAAGAACGCCCCATAGAAAAAAACCCAGACCCGACAGAAACGAGACATATCTCAGTTTTTTTGTTATTTATTATATAGTTAAATTATATATTTTTTATATTCGATATCAATGGCTAACTCCAAAATATTGCATTATGTTTTTGTGCAGGCGTTACTCTAAAAAATTACAAAAGCCTATTTATCTACAAAATTCGTAAATGCATGTAACTAAATGACGATACAATAGTTATAGGATGTATCTAAGTGACCTTTATCCGAACGTTAAATGTTAATAGCGTTTATTGGTTTCGGTGCGAGAAGTTATCGAATCCGAGTCGATTTCGCTTTCCGAGACGATTGTGAATAGCCCTGCTGAGCGAATGGACCTTCAGGCCGCCACTGCAACCGCGGTGGTGTATTGTTTGCAGCGGCTGGAACCGCGGCTCACGGTTAGCCGCCACCGTAAGCCGCTTGTGTGTGGGAGACGCTTTACTGTTTACTCTGTGATCGTATTAACCGTTTTGATGTCAGTCTTTAAAACCAAACCTGTGTGACATGTGTGATAGTTATATTCATAGATTATATATAGGTATGGATTTTTTTCTGATCTCATTCAATGATTAAGTTACTTTTGATATTAGGTAAGTTGATTACTTTTACAATATTTTGAAATAATTGAATAACAGTTTTAAGCTTTAGTTAATAAATTCATTAAACGTTATAAAGGATCAATTTAATTTTATCGGAAAAGACGGGTTAATTTGTCCATTTGAAATATATTGGGTTTTAATAGTACTCACTGGTATAATGTTGCGGACGAAAAAACTTTAATATAGTGAATTAATAAGGTGGTGTTTTATTGTATTTTATATTAAAAAAAATAAAAAACTAAACTGATTTTTAAATGGAAAACAAAACAGCTGAAACGTGTTGTATTTATTCATGCCAATAGACTACACGGATATTTTTTTTTATCAAAATATAATTTTTACTTAATTTATTTGTAACTTTAAAAAGTAGCGCGTACCTATTATATAAATTTATTTACACTATTAAAAAAATAAGAATCCGTAATCAATAATAATTTTTTTCCACTGACTACGAGTACGCCGACTCTATCTACGGTAACACGAATTTTTAAATTGAAAAATTTAGGGAGTCGAAATAAATGTATATCAACGACCATTACTGTTTATTGCGTTTTATGCAATATTCAATTGCAGTAAAGCAAATTAATTTCAATATGATCGTTGATCTTAATTGACTGGTAGGTATGAAAGGAAGAAATAAAAATAAATAAAACTGAAAATAATATTTAATAAGTGACTAGGTAGGTACATAATAAACTTAAGCATAAATAATAAAAAGGAAATATTGCCACATCCCTTAAAGACTCTTACATTAATATTTAAGCATTAGAAAATATATTGTCTCACACAGAGTCTATAATTAATATTATATCTATAATTTTATTAAAATAATAAATATCTAGTTTAAGCTACGTACGTACATCCGATGAATTCTCTATTTTCTAATAAATTTTATATCGCAAGCATTAATAATTATTAAGCCAAGTAATTAAATATTTAATAATGATATTTAAGATTAGTTAATAGTATCGAATATGGATTATGTGTATTATATATTTTTATTAAATTAACTTATTGCCTAAGTTAAAATTGCTAATATTATTTTAAATTATGTATGGATTCGAACATGTAATTATTTTTTGATATGTTTTATATACTATTATATCTTTAAATATATTATTATCCTTTATATTTATATATTTAAATATTTTGTCATTAGAATTCAATGAAATGATATAGTTAACGTGTCAAACGAAGCGAATAAATAGAAAAAATGCTTAGCTATTTTAAAGATGTTAGTATGTTTTTTTAAAAGAAGACAGCTTTTTTCACCTATCCCGAAATAAATCATTTTGTCGTCGCTGGTCTTGTTTATTGAAAGGGGGCTCGATCGCAGTTACAGGCTGCACCCCCTTGTCCTTGACGACACTGAACGTTGCACCATGATGACCAGCCCTCGACGGTATTCAGAACCCTCATACTAGCTAGTTGTTTAGAAGCCGTGGGTTGAGGGGTCTCACGACATGCTGGACATCCTGTTGAAGAAACCAAGACAATGGGTCATTTATATTAATAATATGACACAGCAGCAAAGCCCATTTGATAGCATTTGGTCACTACAGCTGTACGCCTATACTTCATTGACTTCCAGGAATAAACACTCTTTACCCCGGCAATACATGTTGGCCAAGCTTCAGCTAACTCGAGCGTAGGCAAATCTATACAAGGCGGGTAGCACCCGTCTTGTATAGATTTGCCTATAGATAGTCTAGACGTTGGTCAAGTTCGAAAGAGACCAATGCCAACTGCCAATGTTCACGAGTTTTTGTGCAGCAATCCATATGTTAGCCGTCATTAGTTTTCATTGAGAATTGGAACGATATGGACGACGTAGAAGTTATTGCAGCTTCTGTTATTTATTTAATGAGTGCATATAATTATCATATCAGTGTACACCGCAGTAAAGTTGTAAAAAAGAAGAGGCAGTGACATTGTCGAAATTATTTAGAAGTTGCAAGTTAATTAAAACATAACATCTCACCGGGACTGTCGCCAAACTGTAATTGATATGGCCGACTAACATGTGGACGTGGACGTGACTTGGCGAGTGCTGGCGAGCGCCTTTGATTTGTGCAGAAAAAGCGACACTGTTCCGAAGGGAGACGAGTCGTGGTGAGCGATGCCGAGTGGCGGTAAGGTACACCAAACGAACCGTATACACGTTGGCTCTCGCCTGCACTCGGCCGGCTCGGAGCGACGACCAGCAATGACGAGGCTAGGCAAATGTTCTGTCCATATGTTGGTACTCGCCTTCGCTCGGCCAACATGTGTAGCCGGCTTTATACAAGGGTGACAAACGAGCGCACAATCTAAGTACTTGATGGTAAGTGATTGCTGTGGCCGAGACATCTATTCGTAAAAAAATCGAAGATAAAATGATCTTCGGTTTTTTTACAAAACGAACAAACGGACTTACAGCCCACGTGCTGGCAAGTGCCTGGCTGTTCATGGACACCTTCAGCCAACTTCTAACAACGAAGGCTAAGGTAATAAGTATATGTATAACGTCATCATCATCATCATAAGTCCACTGCTGAACATAGGCCGCCCCCAAGGAATGCCACAAAGTACGGTCCTGAGCCACTAGAGAGCCATGGTAGCTCAGGGGCGAAGCGCTCGTTGTAAATGTAACAGTACGCGGGCAACCCGGATTCGATTCCCGCCGGCACCAAGAAAATTTGTTAATTGCAATTTTAAGTGCTGATTTACCACGTGCTCGGCGGTGAAGGAAAACATCGTGAGTAAACCTGCATGTCTAAGAAATAAGAAAAAAAATATATCGGTGACATGTGAAGTTCGCCAACACGCATTGGGGCAGCGCGGCGGACATTTCCTTGCCCTAAAACCCTCTCAAAAATTAGAGTTTTGCGGGAAGTCGCGTGTCAATTGTTTTTCATCACAAATTGAAGTTCATCATCGGTAGCAAAAATCGGTTTTTATGATTTTAAAAGTTCACTCTCTCCGCAAGCTTGCAATGTTTGTCCTCAAAATGCTTTTGGGAGAGAAGGGCCTTTTTTGAACACCGTTAGGCGTTGGTATGTTGAATTTAATCGTTGCCATATTTCTCTCTATGACGAAATTCGTGAAGGTCGGATCTTCAACTGCGATCACTGAGAAAAATGTCAAACGAAAAAAATAACAAGCTACGAACAAAAAATAAGCGAGAGAAAATAAAATAATAAAAACTAAATAATAAATGAGGGAATTCGTGGACATAAAGGTAAAGTAAAACAATACATCTACATTTTAAAGTTAGAAAACTTTGTTGCCGCTCAATTCTTCATAAACTCGCCCCAGATAAAAAAGAGTTGATTGGTGTAAAAAAAAGGTTGTTAATGTCAATATCACGGACGTTTAAATACCGTGTATGCCATTGTGATAGGAGATGAAACATGGACATATTGTTACATTTCGGAAAGAAAGCAACAGTCTTTCACAGACAAAATTAAGGTAGAGAAGAAGCGTCGGCAAAGAATGGTTGCCTTTTTCTTTTACGTGGTAGAGTTATGCTGCAGCTATATTCATAGTATAGTTGTAGCATGAATGGGTCGTCTCGACTGGGGAAGGACCACGCTCTCACAGAATACCAGCATAAAATAGCAGCTTAATGCTGCTGTGTTTTGTATGGTGAGTGTAGAGAACCGGAGACCTATTTTACTGGAAAAGAGGCATTCTATCTTAGTCGTCACGGGTGACAATGCATCTGAAGATGGATTTAGATGGCCACAGCAACCACTTACCATCAGGTGGACTGTGTGCTCGATTGTCACCCTAATACTATAAAAAAAAAAACAGAAATATCCTATTTGCACGATCCAACTTGATGAGTAAAATACGGTTAATTCTGAGTGGTACACCACCTGTTGTTTTCCCAGACCATTACTATCCTTCGGCGCAGACCCATTGGTCTGAGGGCATATTTTTCACGTCCTTATGCTTTCAACAATTGTTTGAACGAATGGAAAAGTGTTTAAAATGTAAATTGTTTTATATAAGTACATATCGTCGCTGTAGAATGATAACCTCGTATGTCCAGAGATCTAAACTTTACAGGAAACGAAAAAGATAGTTCATTTCGTCAATGTTTAAAATATTGTTATTAGCTTTTGTCTCATGTATTGAATGACAAAAAGGACTTTTTTATATTACTAACCAATCTCTTAATTAACTGTGTTATACCAGTTAAATTGACATAAGAGGTTTTCTGTTTTAATATGTGCTAAGTTGCGAGGTTTTCAAAAGTAAAGACACTGCTGTAGACTAAAAATATAATGTTTTATTGGATACAATTTGGACAAGTTTTGGTAAAAAATCAGGATAGAAAGATTTTCTTTCACAGATATCAGTCGAACCGTAAGCTTGGATAACCTAAAATCCTCTTAAACCTAATCATAACTCAACCGAAGTCCGTTTTCAAGCACATACCCAGAGTAAACAACAATACCTATAAGAAGGCAAAAACAAATTTAATTATAAATGCGGCAAGCTATCATAAAATGGATGTAAATCTCGAGGAATCACACGTTTTAATTCCTGAAGATGGTTGTATTTTACCGTAGTTATGGGTAACTTTGAATAATACAACTGTTGAAAACGATCACTAGCATTTGTTTGATGTATTCTTCTTGGTAGTAATTGGTATTCTTCCGAATAACTTAGCTTGAACTTTATGGATCCTTCTGGTTCATATTTAAGGCAACGTATGTCAGTGACTTGTGGGTCACCAACCTTATTACCTGGTCTTATCGATGAAAAATACGGTTGAGAGCTGTATTTTTTGAAGGCTGTGTGGTCTAACTGGACGACATTGTAGGGACCAGGATTGTTACGGGCAGTTTTACAAGCTTCAACATACCCTGCTGGTGAATAAATCTCGCGATTTTTTATCTGCCTCTCAATTGTGGAATGCATCGCATCACATTCCATTTGGGTGTGACCCTTCTCAAGGTATTTTTGGACTATGACCATACCTGTCTTAGCAGCTGCGAATAAAAGTACATTGGAGAGAATAGAATTTCTATTTTGGTATGTGCACCCATCACTGTATATAATCACTTTGCGAATGATTGTCCTATCAACATAGTTAATTATGAAATCAACTATGATACTTGAAAACTCATCAGCTGTTAAACCGCCTTCAGATTCATCCCAGAGGAAACAAAATACTTCTTTGGTCTTCAAATTATTTATTGTAAAATTATGCACTTTGAGCTTCATCTTGTAATAAAGTGCTGAAGCTTTTAAATATGGACAAAGCAAGACAGCTTGCAAGTCCATAGTAAATACAGCAACAGAAGTATCATTTTCTGCTTTGTCATTCTTTTATTTTCTTTTTGCATTCATTTCTGGCTTTGTGCTTCCGCTTTCCGAATTAAATGTAGTTGATAATCCGTATCACTAACACTTCCAACCTTATGACCACAGCTGGTGTCACACTGGTCCTTTTTGGACGAAATAAGGATAAATTTAGGCCCTCAAATACTTCCCAAAATGTATACCTTGAAGCACTGAGATGAGCTTTGTTGTGGTCTTTTGTATATTTTAAATATTCATTAAAAAGTGCCGATTTGGATTGCCAATAGGGTTCTAAGTAGAGTTTTGTTGAACTTTTTCTGCAATAATGTGACTCAAGTTTCGGCAGGGAATGGAAGAACTCTCTCAATAACTCTTTTTTTAAATTATTTGCTTGGCCTCTGTTGTTGTTTCTGTCCGAAACGGGCACTGTATTTGTTGCAACAATGTTTTCAACCCAGTTGTGAACTGACCATTCACCGATATTTATTGTGTTTAAAAACATATTTTTACAGACTCTAAATGTTGCCCCTTTATCTTTAAAATTATATTTATACGAATAACTTCTACGAGAGTCAGAGGTTTCCGTTTTTTTTTGCATAGTACTGCTTTTTAGTACAAGTGAGGACACGAAATAACGTTTTGCTTCCCTATTCAGTAGCCAAAACTGCTTAAAAATCTGTAGTCTTGAATCATCCGAGAGCTTATAGTATTCAAAAAATTTGGCATTTTTGTTATGTTCACACCGAGGTTTCATTTCTTTTGGCGCCTTTTGAACGTCGTACACAATTTTTCCCTCTTCGTTTTTTCTTCTTCCCAGATATCCCTCACTTTCATTCGTTTGTTTTTTGTTGCTCATACATCCATTGAGATTTATCACTTCGTCCTCGTTTAGCTCTTTTTCGTTGTTGATTAGATATTTCCCTCAAAATTTCAGGACTGTCATTTGGCTGAAAATTTGGATCTTGCACAGAGTCATCGCTGCTGAAATCGGTATTATCTTCAGCCTCTAAAACCTGCAAATTATCATTTCCAGTGTTCTCATTATTATTTATAGCAGAAGTAGACGGTGCCGATGGTGGAATTTTGGATAGTATGATTGTGGAATCATTTACAGGATTGGAATTTGTTGTAGATGGAGGATTTTCCAGTGTCTGTTCTGAAGGCATTATTGCAGAAAATTCTGCAAGTCTATCAATATTTACATCTGATTGTAATAAAGACGGTGATTCCTCTAAGTCAGCAAGGGTGATTATGTCTTCTGGTGGCGAATGGTTCTTTAGACATGCTGCCACTAATTTCCTTCCTCTATTTAACATTTTGCTTGAAAAAAACATTAAAATTACTAACTTATATTTTAAAGAAAAGCTGCAAAACCGGTAACAATCATGGCATGAAAACCTCGTATGTTGTTTGAATTTATAACTATACGAGGTTTTCATGTGAAACTTTTAACAAACGGCTGTCAAATCAATACTAACCTAGTATTTGCACTTTTGCAGCCGTTATTGAAAATAAACTAAGACAGATACCACTTTATTTTCACTATTGGCAGTGCATAGTTTGATTAATTAAAGCCGTTAAAATATTATATGAAAACCTGGCATGTCACTTGAGTGGTTTGCTTTACCGTGGACATACGAGGTTTTCCTTGCAGTAATCGCGTCAAATAAACGAATACATATTTATTGCTAAACTACAACTCCTTAGTTATAAAAATACAACCAGAGTGTACTTGGAAATATGAAAAATACAAATAAACTTACTTCACACCGATTTATCCACAATTTTTCACTAAAAATCTCAAAAATAGAGAGTAACGCCGAAACCATGCACTTTTTACGAGGTTTTCTCGCTTGTGAAGACAAGATGCCCGACGAGTAATAAATAAGAGGTTTTCGTTTAACTCCATAGATGGCACTAGTAGTCATACATTGGGTTCACGATTTTGCTGTATTTTAAAATACGTGGTTTTCATTCGGTTTTTACAAAAATAAAAAAAATATACTTTTTTGACATACGAGGTATTCATTCTACAGCGACGATATCTGCAGTGTATCCCACATATATAAAAAAAACCTATGGAAATATTTGTTAACATATACTATGGAAATGTTTACAATTAACTTGAGTGTCAAATATCTAAAATCCTACTTCCTACTAATCCTACTAATATTGTAAACGTGAAAGTTTGTGAGTTCATGTATGGATGTATGGACGTTTGTTCCTCTTCCACACAAAAACTACTGAATGTATTTTAATGAAACTTTACAATAATATAGTTCATACATCGGAACAACACATAGGCCATAATTGATAAAGACTGTGTAAATTGGTCAAAATATAAAGATAAGTGTTAAGTAAGTCAGAAAAAAATGTAAGAATAACACAAATATAATGTATGGTGGAATTGTTTCTCCTAAATAAGTAAGTAAGTAACAAAAAAAAGTCCGCGACTGTATCTATCTATATTTTATGTGTAAGCTATAATAATGGATCACCTATGGTTTAAAGTATAATATCTACGCGGGCGAAGTCGCGGGTAAAAGCTAGTGTTACATATATTTATTTGTTTGAGAGTCTGGAGCTTACCTGAAAGCACATATCTATCGGTAACGCAGAAGGTTTCGCATATCGCAGGCCAGTCCACATCTTCTCTCACTGCCTCACGGTCTTCCTTCTCGGGGCAACTGCACAGTGGTTCACCTGTACATTGAAATTAAATTTCATGAGAGGTCATCTCTTTTCTGCCGTGTTGTGGCGACGCGGCGTAAGAAAATCTCTTACAAATCAATCTTTCTCTTTTGGTTTTCGATAAATGGCGGTATACTGTAGCAGCGTCAAGTCCAGTTGGCGGACTTTCGATATAACCAAAGACATATATGTATGTGTTGGTGACACGCTTAAAAAATATTTTGTCATTTTTCATTCTAAAAATATAACTAAATTCGTATTTAAAATTACTGCTATTAAAGTATATAAGGCATTCCAAATAATAAGGTAATCTACGTTAAAAGTAAATAGATTCAGTATAATTGTCAAACGAAAGTTTATGGTTCAGTCGGCACCCTAAACCATTGTGGTCCTGTTTCTGAAGAATATGAGATTATTAAACGAACTAATAGACTCATCTCTAGTTTGTCTACCGACTTCAAAAAGGAGACGGTACTCAATTAGACTGTATGTTCTTTTTGGATGTGTGTTACCTTACAACTTTTTTTTTGGGTGAAACGATTTCGAATATTCTTTTTTTTATTTGAAAGTGGGTGCTTTTCATGTGGTCCCACATAAATTTGATCAAGGTCTGACCAATAGTTTTTGAGTTATTCGTAATAATTTATATTGAAGTAGGTTGTACAAAATTTTTAATTTAAAAAAAATGTTTTAATGGTCTCATCATCATCAGTCAGTGCAATTTATGTATATAAACTGCCTCTACGATACAGGAGAAAATCCTAGTGTGATGGGAACATTTAAAAAAAAATAAAGAGCGTGGTCCTTCCCCGGTCGAGCCGACCCATTCGTGCTACAACTATACTACTAATATAGCTGCAACATGCGTCTACCACGTATAAACAATTATTATGTATTATATACAATATTTTATTTTACAAATTACAGCGAAACCTGGGTATGCCAGAAGAAGCATAAAAGTAAGTTGAATGCAGTGGAGATGCGATCTCTTCGTAAAATGTGCGGCGTTACCATGGCCGACCGAAAGCGAAACGAAGAGATTCGCAATATGGCAGGTTTGAAAGATGACCTTATCACAAAAATTGATAAGGGCGTGCTTCGGTGGTTTGGGCACGTTGAGCGAATGAGTGAAGACCGAATGGTGAAGAAAATATATGTATAGCGCGAAAGTTAATATTAAAAGGTGTCGAGGTAGACCGAGACTAACTTTCGAAGACCATGTGAGCAAATTGCTCGAAGAGGGTAGGGTCAAAAGTACTCGGGTACCTAGACGTGCATGCATGAAGAAGATAATGAATCTGAAAGAAGCGAAAGAGGTATGTAAGGATCGTGACACTTGGCGATCTGTTCTCTCTGGCTACCCCGTCAGGGATTGTGCGTGAAGATAAGTAAGTAAGTAAGTATATACAATATTAAAAACTACAATACCCCGGTCGAGTGTTTATAGATTAATTTAGAGTTATGTGTTACATATTGATCGGTTATGCAATACGAATAAAAGTCTTGTATTAAATTAGATATTTATTTTAGATAAAAATATACTTTATTCTTATGATAAGAGATAAGATACATAATGAACAGAGATAGTTGTAATTTAGACAAAGAAAGCACTAGCAGAGTTGTCAACTTTATATTTTATGAGATCGTACCATAAACTGGAAAAAATTGTATTTTATTAAGAACTCAATATAAAAAATAGTACACATTAAAATTTCAATAAAACAATGGTAAAAAATACAACAATAATATTATTATAACGTCAAAGCAAAATTTAACATTTAGGGTATAACTTTTAAGAATCTGACACTAAACTTTATTACGACTTTTTTTTTATTAAAGGAAAGGGGCTCGGACTGTGTTCACTCTGCCCTCTATTACAAAAACAGGGTTACTTTTACTTTTTCACTTAACATAAACTCACACTCAACATGGAGAAATATACCTAGTCAGGTCATAAATTCTGTCACATGTTTAATATAAAATAATTGAAACAAGTTTATTCATTATGTAACCATTTATATACCAAAATGAACTTAACAAAACGTAGATTCTTATGACACTAAAGTTTATTCAAAATGACCTCCGTGATTTTACTTAATGGCCGCGCAGATTGAAAAATCTGCGCGGCCAGTCGTCTATCGCAGCACGAACGAGGTCCATGTCAATATAGGCGGCTGCCTTAATCAAGGATGTCTTGAGTGACTCCAAATTGGGATGAGGCTTTGAGCACGCCTTTTCCTCCAAGTGTTGCCATATCTTGTAATCTAACGGATTCAAATCTGGACTGGAGGAAGGCCAGTCTTCGTGCCGGATGAAGTAGATTTCACGCGTCGCCAGCCAGTCTTGTGTGCTCTTCGCTCTATGAGCTGGCGTCGAATCTTGTTGGAATACCCAGTGCCTGTTATTGAACATGGTATGAGAAACAGGTTCCACAAGGTTCGTCAGGACTGTATTTTGATACACAACTTCATTCGTTTTTACACCTTCCTCACAAAAATGTACCTCTGTTAAGCCCCAATAAGAAACTCCCAACCATACCATGAGCGAGGATGGAAAATGACCTCGTTGGACTCGCGGAATACGGTTGCTCGCTTCTTCACTACTGTGTGCGTACACCTTATCATTTTGTTTGTTGTAGCTCTCTTCTACGGTAAAAATTTTTTCATCCGAAAAAAGAATTTCCCGATATTTTTTTCCCGCGTACCGCTTCAACAAAGCGCGGCATCTCTTCAATCTCAGGTCCATTAGACGATGTCCTGTTTTTCTTCGATATGCCCGAAGCCCTAAGTCTTCATTTAACACCCTTTTCACCGTGGTTTCGTTTGATGGTACTATAAACGAATCTTTTGGTTATATTCAAATTTTTCAGTATGTCAAAAATTTGAATTGGCGCGTAACCGCAACGATGCAACGCAATAACTGCAACACAGTCTTCTTTAAGCGTCCACTCCATATTTAAAACTGAGTAAAATTCTAAAAAGTATACAGTTTTATTTTCATGAACAATTCGAAATTCGAATTCAATAAACTTTTTTGTGGCCAGCATTCTAAAAGAAAAGTTTTTACTGTGTGACAATACTTATGACCTGACTAGGTACTTATATCTATTACTATTAAGCCATGAGATCATTTTACATTACAAAATAAATAACAAAGTTAAACTATTAATCATGTAAATCAAAACAAAATGGCGCGCGGCGGTCGGTTCTTTTTCAAGTATAGTTCGCGTACTAGCATAGTAAACTGCTAATTTGGAAATTCGTTCGGGACCAGCTACCAGTTTTACAGTTTAAATCAAGAGAGAAGACAGTAGGGAAAGTGATAGGAAAAGTAGTGAAAGTGTCAATGTTGCACTCTTATGGGGAAATTACGAAGATAAAATTGATGTTTTATTTCCTACTGCACCTTGATAACGATTACAGTCCACTTCACCTGACGTCAAGACAGCGACCACTCCATAGGGACCCGTAATCTTAGTCGTCTAACCTTTCTTTTAAGAAAGGGCGACAGACTGAATTTGAGTGGCACATCTTCTCAAGGGTCAAGCCCACCTCGTTGTATCCGAACCCAACGTGGTGTGATATCAGTTTCTTGTGGTAGAAGGTCACTTACCAGTTGACCCCCGTCTGTTGAACCATTTCACTATGTAAACTAATAAACGGGCTCTGTAGCCTTAATACATTGCGCACTAAGGCTGAAATCTATAGACTGTACTTTGACTTTGCTCAGACTTTACGTTCGAGTTAAGACAATGTCGTTATTTATAGAGCTAACTTCGAAGTCGTGCTGAGTGCGCTCTTAGCAAAGCCTAAGTCAACGAAATCGACGACATACGTAAAACTCAGGATATTATCCGAATCCACCGTATTCAGTTTAAGTTGGACTGTATGATAATTAAGCGACTAGTTTTAGCTTTTTTTATTATTGTTTTAATATTGTATATAATACATAATAATTATTTATACGTGGTAGAGCCGTGCTGCAGCTATATTAGTAGTATAGTTGTAGCACGAATGGGTCGGCTCGACCGGGGAAGGACCACGCTCTTTATTATTTTTAAATGTTCCCATCACACTAGGATTTTCTCCTGTATCGTAGAGGCAGTTTATATACATAAATTGCACTGACTGATGATGATGAGACTATTAAAATATTTTTTTTTAAATTAAAAATTTTGTACAACCTCCTTCAATATAAATTATTACGAATAACTCAAAAACTATTGGTCAGATCTTGATCAAATTTATGTAGGATCACATGAAAAGCACCCACTTTCAAATATAAAAAGAATATTCGAAATCGTTTCACCCAAAAAAAAGTTGTAAGGTAACACACATCCAAAAAGAACACAGTCTAATTGAGTACCGTTTCCTTTTTGAAGTCGGTAGACAAACTAGAGATGAGTCTATTAGTTCGTTTAACAATCTAATATTGCAGAAACAGGACCACAATGGTTTAGGGTGCGGACTGAATGATTAGAAAGACGTGGGTTCGAATCTGCTATTCAAATACCGATATGAATCACTCTTAACATCAGCACGTTAAAGTTACTTGGAGTGGTATTTTTTAAATATAACAAAAGGAAACTTAATCTTACCAAGGCGGTTGTTGCATAGCGTGGGGCACACATACACGCGGGGCTTGCCGTACACCGCGTCCGATTGGTTACCATTGAGTAGAGCTGATTGCAGACCGACGGGGATCAACTTCGGGCAGGTGGAACCGCATGCATTGCCACCAAGACCTGTCAGAAAATGCTTTTAAATCATTGAAATTAAGATAATTGTAACACCAAGATTTTATAATAATAATTGTAAACTGTAACTGACGACCTTTATACGTGGTAAAGCCACGCTGTGCAATACTATGGTTGTAGCACGAATGACCGGGGAAGGACCACGCTCTCACAGAATACCAGCGTGAAATATCAGCCTAATGCTGCTGTGTTCCGTATAGTAAGCTTCGAGAACCGGAGACCCTTTTTACTGGAAACGAGGCATTCCATCTTAGTCATCAGCAGTGATCAGGCAACGCATCTGCATTTTGATACTTAATCGAAGACAGATGTAGATGTCTATTAGCGATAGTATTTACTTACTATCAGGTAGACTGTGTGCTCGATTGCCACGATTATACTATAAAAATATATACCAAAATCAAATGCACAAACAATAACAAGATTCACAGGTTCTCTTTATCGAATATTAAGGCGGTGATCCACTATAGAATCGAATAAAGACGAAACTTTCTCGCTGGTTTGTTACCCCACTAACCTAACCAGAAGTAAAGTATTAGCCTACATATTATGTCCTCCTAATCAATTTGTGAAAGTGTTTTGAAACAGGGAAGAGTCCGCAGTTCTGTTCCAATAAACGTTCGCAGACTTGGCATATCCTTGAAATATTTTTAATTTATCAGACTACCAGTTTCTTAAATATATCATCATTCAACTTCAATCAATGTATTATGATTCACAATTAAACAATATTTAAACGACATTTGCGTAATTATTTCTTCTGCGGCAGCAACGCGTCGGGTAACAGTTAGTACCTTCCTATATCATAAAATACAGAAATTTAAAAAAAAAACAACTACAAGGCAAGTTGAAGCTAAGTCGTCAGGTGGGATAGGAATTAAAAACATTGAGTTGTACCGTTCAAGTTGTTGTGTTTGTGTGTGTAAGTTGTTGTAGCCTATTAAAAGTCGATCATTGAACATAGACCTCCCCCACAGATTGCCTCATGGGGGAAATATTAGCCATAGTTGTCACGCTTGGCAGGCGGGTTTGCAATCGCAGTTATTAATTTTTTAGTCGTAATTAAGAAGACGCTGCTACTTATCTCCGAGTTTTTTGACATAGAAGAGGGGGCAAACGATGCAGCTAGTTTGTAGTGAATATTTTTAAATAAGCCACTACACGGTGGAAACATTAAGCTTTAATAGAAAAAATAAAGAAATCTCAATTACATGATGAATATAAGTGAAATTTTCATTACCTTATATTCATGATGTGACTGAGGTTTCTTTATTTTTTCTATTAAAGCTTGATGAAAATATAAATAAAAGAACGATTTACACCGGTCTTTAGAACAATAAATAGAAATTTGTAGTTTCATGTCCTTCTTTATAAAATCTAACACAAATTCTTAATGATTTCTTATATTTACGCGAACACTACACATTTAAATGAAACTAATTTTACGGATTTTATCGCGTATATTAAATTATTAACCTTTAGGTGATACATTTATATTTATCTACCTAAATATTCATAAAACACTAAAATAAGAAATAATTAAATAATTTTCTTCTTTTGTTTTAAATCATCATGTTTTGTTTGGTATAATATAGGCTAGATCATGCCTTGTATTGCACTCTATCTGTTCTTAAAGTAACATCACAATCGTTTCAGTTATTCGTAAGATTATCCCGGACAGACAGACAGACAGACAAACGGACAACAATTTTAAAAATGGTTATTTATGCCTCCCTGAGCTTATAGAAGCAAGTTATTTTAATTTCACAGACAGACACTTCAATTTTATTTGTATGTATGTATAGATATGAAAAGATGAAAATAGGTTTTGTTTTTTTGGTACTCGTATTTTGGTTACTTGTACGTTTAAGAAACTTGGCTGATATTTGTAGCGATTTAGTAAATTACAAAAAGACATCATTTTATAATGACACAAATGCTAATTTTAAAGAAAAAATATTTTTAAATATATAGGTACCAGGCTATGGCATTTATTTAAAGGATATCCAAATATAAAAATGAATCAAACTTACTCAATTATTCTGAATGATGATAAAAAATCATAGAATACTGCACTCATTTCACTCGAAACACGCAACATAAAAATAACAAAAAAAAAAAGAAAAGCAGACCTGCGTGGCAAAGGTCCGTACAAAGATCTCTCCGAGCGGGCACTGAGGGCACCCACTTGTTCACCCCCTTTCTGAACTGCGCCAGGTATATCCTATTCAACTCCCCCCGGTCGTATTTCAACTGAAGCACCACTTCCGGAGTCTCTAGCTTTCTCTTTCTCTCCCCAGTCTCCTCCAGTGCTATTGGCTGGGCGTTTTGTACCGTATCTCCCGATTCGTCTGCGTCGGGGTTGCACAGGGCGAATGTAAAGTAGGACACGCCCATAAGGGTGAAAATCGTTTTTGCCCTCATCTGTAAAACAAAGGGCTAAATTAAAAAAGATCTTTGTTTAGTCAGAACTGATTGTTTTCTGCTTTCTAATGTTTGTTTGATGAAAGTCAGATTACGTTTTCCAGTAATTTTAGAAACGTCATTCCATTTTTTTTTCTTTTTGTTTTAAATTTTTATTTCTTAAACTAAGAGGCGATTATTTCCACTACGTGTTATTATCGATCAGATTGTATTATTGAGTCATCATGAGTATCACTCGAGTTTACCTGTATTCGATATTATACCAACGCTTGTGAGATGAGATCGGTGTTGGATAAATTGTGAAACATAACGGTACGATTGCAAATTGCCCAGACAGGAAGTTGATCGGTGCTTTGTCTGGATACGGGATATTAAAAAAAAACATACTTAATAGAATTGTTCAACGTTCGATTTTTGGGTCAGTCCTATTTCAATTGACTTCAAAATAATTTAAAAATTCAAAAAGCCGACTGCAAAAAAGACAATTTAAAAGTAATGCACTAAAACGACGAACGAAACGAAGATTGAGAATAGAATACATAATTGAAATAAAGTATTAACAAAGTAAACTCTACTTAGGTTTAACAGTCTTTACTATGAGCTGAAAGCCCAAGTTAAATACCCAAATTAAGATTAGTAGGAAGCGGAACCCATTAATTTTCTTTCGGTTTAGATATAATTTGCGATTGGGTCCCGTTTCGGTCGTTTTAGTGCATTACTTTTAAATTGTCTTCTTTGCAGTCGGCTTTTTGATTTTTTAAATTATTTATTTTATTTTAGACTGTTTAGTGTCCCGACACACTCTTATGAACTCAATTTCATATGATAGTACGATGTCCGACACAAACATGGCCCATTTCACGTTTTTACCATTTTTTCAAAAAACTTTAAACCAATTGATTATTCCTTATTTAATTTAAACATATAACTTATATATATTTTTGCAATCGCTTTTTAATTTCCTTTATTTTGATACTCTACTCGATAGATTTGGTTATTTTTTTATTAACGTATTACTATTTTGCGCCAAAATCCGCCATTTTGATTTTTTTTTCAAAAAGCTATGTAAGAACACTTGGGTTTCTAAGACAAATAAAACGATACCTTAATTGTCGAAATCCATCCAGCTGTTTGGAAGATACGAGGTAATAAAGAAATTTACAAACATACAAGATACGCGTGAAAAACATAACGCTTCCTTTCAGTCTGGTAAAATGGAGGGGTTCTCAATTCGACTGTATTTTTTAATGTGTGTTACTTCAGAACTTTTTTCTAGGTGAACCGATTTTGATGATACTTTTTTTATTTGAAAGCTGGCGCTTTTCATGTAGTCCCATATATATTTGATCTAGCTCAGACCAGTAGTTTTTGAGTTATCCTTAATAATTTATTTTAAAGTCGGTAGTACAAAATTATTAATTTTACCACTTGTAATTAAGTGTAATCTTACTTCAAATCTAAGCTCTGGTATTGCACCTCCAACAAGCTTTATCTTATTTATCTTTAATATTGTGTATTTAATTGACTTCGTCTACACTGATGATGTTCACATTTTATTTATATTGAAGTCGGTTGAATGTACATAATTTTTAATTTTATCACTTGATAATTAAAAAAAAATAATACAAAAATATAACATTTTGTAGTATGGAAACAAAGAAATAAAAACTGTCAATACGGAATCACTATACCTGCTAGGTGCCCCGTTGTTTTTCGATAGTATTAAACCTGTTTTAAAAACAAAATTTGATCAGTTTTTAAACCACGTTGATAAATTGTATAAATTAAACCCCCAAATAGCTCTTACTATTTTAAAATATTGTCTTCTTGTACCTAGATTTACATACTTACTCCGCTCGAGTCCAGTCTGGAAATGTTCGGATATTTTACAAGATATTGATAATAATCTTAAAATTGCTATAGAAAAAATTCTAAATTTAACTTTAAATACAACAGCCTGGGCTCAAGCTACTTTACCTATAAAATTTGGTGGCATTGGTGTGAGAAATCTTTCTAGCGTTGCATTGCCTGCTTTCCTTGCTTCCGTGCATAGTGTCAGTGACTTATGTAACATAATTTTAAATAATAAAGTAGACCTATGCTTTGCTACGGAGGCAGGGCAGACATGGCAAACGCTCTGTCCTGGTGAAAATATTCCACTGGAAGTTAACCAACAAAAACAGTGGGACATTCCGTTGGTACAGGGCGTGCAGAAGGATTTGTTTCATAATTTCCATAGTGACCAAGATAAGGCACGCCTTCTAGCTGTTTCGACTAAGGAATCTAGTCACTGGTTACACGCTTTACCATCAAGTAATCTCGGTACATTACTTGATAGGGAAAGCTTGCGTATTGCCGTAGGAATCCGACTAGGAGCGGCGATTTGTCAACCCCATCAGTGCCCCTGTGGTAGCAGCGTCGACAAGTTTGGGCTCCACGGACTTTCATGTAAGAAAAGCGCTGGTAGGTTTTCACGACACAGTTCTTTGAACGATGTCATCCGAAGGGCTCTTGCCTCTATAAATGTTCCCTCGGTTTTAGAGCCTTGTGGAATATTTAGAGACGATGGCAGGAGACCCGACGGTATGACATTGGTCCCTTGGGAGAGAGGTAAAGCCCTAGTGTGGGATGCTACTTGCGTAGACACTCTGGCGGCCTCTCATCTCAGGGGTACCTCGTTTAAAGCCGGGGCGGCATCAGAGGCAGCTGAGCTGAGTAAGTGGCACAAATATGAGTCTCTGAGAGATGACTACATATTTGTGCCATTTGCTGTAGAGACTATTGGTCCGTGGGGTCCACGTGCGGTGAAGTTCCTAAAGGAACTCCACCCGCGGCTGGTCGTTGCTGCTGGTGATAAGAGGGCTGGTTCTTTCCTCGCTCAAAGGCTAAGTATAGCCATTCAGCGGGGAAACGCAGCCAGCGTTCTTGGCACGATACCGCGGGGAGTAGGACTATATGATAATTAAGTTTCTAGTTTTAGTTTTTTTTTATTATCATAGTTTTTAATATTGTAGATAAAATTAAGTATTATGTAAAATTGTAAATAAAAACAAAGAATAGAATAGAATATTTTTATTAAATATAGATTAAAAGAATACTCATTTAAAGTCATTAATGCTTTTACCATTGGTTCGGAAAAAAACTCCATGCTGGGATGAACCAGTAAGAAACCCAGCGGGACTCTTTTTAAAAAACATTAATTTGCAATATAATATATTGGACTATTAACACATCATTTTTTTTTGTCGACCTTGAAAAGGCGTACGATCGGGTTCCCCGTGAGGTCTTGTGGTGGGCGTTAAAGATGAAAGGTATGCCTGGGAAGTATGTGAGGTTGGTCCGTGCTATGTACAGAGCATCCCGTACATGTGTACGATCTGCCGCGGGAACTACGGGCAGTATCGATGTGGCGGTAGGGCTGCACCAAGGGTCGGCACTGAGCCCTTACCTCTTCCTACTGATTATGGACGCTTTGACGTCGGACCTGCAGGATGAGGCACCCTGGTGCATGCTCTTTGCCGATGACATCGTGCTTGTCGGGGAAGAAGGCATCGAGGTACAGAGCAGACTGACGGGGTGGCAACGGAGGCTGGAAAGTGTTGGCCTGAAGATCAGCAGATCCAAAACCGAATATCTGTGCTGTGATTTCGGCGGTCTTTCCAGTCCTGTACCCATGTCGTTGGATGGCGCTATACTGCCTATCTGCTCAGATGTCAAGTACCTCGGTTCCCTCATTCAAGGCGACGGCGGAATAGATAGAGCTGTGCAGCATAGGATTAACGCAGGGTGGATGAAATGGCGACAGGTCACAGCCACAACGTGCGATCCCCGAATGCCAATAAGGCTGAAGGGGAAAATTTACAAATCGATCATCCGACCTGTCGTCATGTATGGAAGTGAATGCTGGGCCGTCAAGAAGAAGGATGAAAATAGACTGCATGCGAATGAAATGAGAATGTTACGATGGATGTGTGGTGTGACAAGGATGGATAAGATAAGGAATGAGTATATAAGAGGAAGCCTGAAAGTAGCGCCAGTGGTAGAAAAGGTGAGAGGAAGCAGATTGGCATGGTTTGGGCATGTGATGCGGAGGAATGAAAGTCATGTCACAAAACGAGTGTTGATTATGAATGTGGAGGGACACACGGGCAGAGGAAGGCCGAATAAAAGATGGATCGATTGTGTGAAGAGTGATATGAGAATGAAAGGAGTAAGTATGGAAATGACGGCTGATAGAGAGGAATGGAACAAAAAGATTTACTGCGCCGACCCCAGATAATGGGAAATGGTTTAGAGAATGATGGACTATTAACACATCAAATCGAATATTTTCGTTCATGTAGACTTAAAACTTTAAGCTGAAGTGGCAATGGGCCGGCCATATCGGCTTCCTCATCGGTGGTCGGCTCGAAGAACCGACCACCGATGAGGAAGGAAGGTTCTCGAATGGCAGCATCGTACCTGCAGGCGAAGTGTAGGGCGTTCATCCACTAGATGGAGTGACAACCTGGTAAGACATGCAGGAAGTCGATGGATGCAGATGGTTCTGACCGTGCTATGTGGCAATTCTTGGGGGAGGTCTATATTTAGCAGTGGACTTGTGAAGAGTTGTAATAATGATGATGATGTAAACTTTAGGCAAAGCACTTATCAACGTCATCATGTTATAATGTTTATTACTTAGAGTTCAGATATACTCGCATAGAGAACGACTACGCCTTTGGTGATGTTCAGTATAACACAATTAATTTTCCATTTTCCAACCTGTAAATGAGATTATATGTGTTAAACTGGAAGACGTTACGACCAAGCTTTATCTTTAAGGTAGTCATTGACTGTACGCGTAAAAGTACTCGTAATTCTTCGATATCTAATCTAATATATAAAACTTAATTTTTGGTTGTTCGTATTTTATGCGCTCCCATAGCGTTCATCAGATTGCGCTCAATTTTTGTCGACTTATTGCTTGCGCTAGCGCGAAGGTTATAGGCATAGTACAA